TGTATATTGCAAAAGCATTATTGCTGAGTGATAGCAAACATAAAAACTACTTCTGCTGTCCTAAAACTGTAATTGGCCATTTTTCAAATGTTTGCCTCAAGTAATATTCCTAAAGAAGACTTTAACTTTTACCAAAGTAATTTTTTGGTAAYATACTTTTACTTTTACTCAAGTATCACTTTGTGGTACTTCGTACAACACTGTATATTGCAAAAGCATTATTGCTGAGTGATAGCAAACATAAAAACTACTTCTGCTGTCCTAAAACTGTAATTGGCCATTTTTCAAATGTTTGCTTCAAGATGAGTTTATAAAGAAAAGTCCACCTCTGGAGCTGAACAGGTGGTCAGCCGCCCACACCACCYCACTAAGGCTAACCCTTAAATGATATTAACCTTTGCAGAATGCAGCCTCTCCCACTGTGGCTGAGCAGCTAATAACTTACTGCCAGCTGTGTGAGGCTGCTGCATCTCCAGTAACTGCACACTCAGCTCCTTTCATCAACATCATTAACATCACGAGTGAACGCTGCAACCAGAAGAGCGAGGCATCAAGGGATAAAACTGATTAAATTTGAAAAAGAAAAAAGAAGAAGAAGAAGAAAAAGGAAAAGGAAAGCATCCCTGCTGTCCTTGCCTGTCCTCTGATCTGAGTGATTAAGGCACCTTTGTGGACGCCTCTCTTCACAGGAAGTTGCTGTGACAGGACGATCCTGTGGCTGGCAGGGAGCTGGAGAGCAGATGGTCGCAGCGGCTACATGGAGAACGGGCTCYCCGGGCGGTAGAAGAAGAGTGGCCTGTTTTCATTAAGCTAATGAATGTCTGGAGTCTCTCTGCCGCTCCACGGTGAGCAATTTGAGCTTCAGAAAGGGGTGCTGTTTGGTGTTAAATGAGGTTTGAAATGATGCTGTGTACCCCCCACAGTCAGTGCAATGATAACTACGCAGATATTAGAAGGAACACACTTCACACAATGAACAAATATTCCAACCATGAAGCAGGGCAACAGTTCTGTTTGGTTCTTTTTCATCTTTCAAGATGATCTTTTATCACCTGCTACCAAAGGAAGCATGGTTTTACACGTTTGTCTGTTAGAAAATAGTCTCATGAGCCACTGGATGACCATAACCAACTCAGCGTTACAAATATTGAGAGCTAGTAATCACAACCAACAAACAGCTTCTATCACTGAAAGATCACACATTACGATAATTTCCTTTGACCACAATGGTAATAAGTACACCACTTTTCATCATAAGGTGAACCTAGTGAAGGAAGGAAAAAAAATTGTATAGGTCCTCTGGACYGGTTCTTCTTTAATGAAACGTTTCGTCTCTCTTCCAAGAGACTTCTTCAGTCTGAGAGTTTCAGGCAAATTCAGGCTTTTATGTCCTGCCTCCAGGTGACTGATACTCACATCACATGACCATCGTTCACAGGTGACTCATACTCACATCACATGGCTATCGTTCTTGTGATGTGAGTATCAGTCACCTGTGAGCCATAGCCAGGTGATGTGAGTATCAGTCACCTGGAGGCAGGACATAAAAGCCTYAATTTTGCCTGAAACTCTCAGACTGAAGAAGTCTCTTGGAAGAGAGACGAAACGTTTCATTAAAGAAGAACGCGTCCAGAGGACCTATACAATTTTTTTTTCCTTTGATTTTTTACCTGGATTACTGAGATGCATCAGGACCTAGTGAAGGAATATATTAGTCAGTTAGACACTGATTTAAAAGCACCACGTCATTTTCTTAGTTTTCCTTTTTAAGACTTGACTTTTATAATCTATTGTTATGTCTTGATTAAAATAGGTTTAGTTACATGCCCGAAACACCTTGACAACATATAATAAACCGTTAATAAAAACGTTAGATGAGCATTGCTGTTCAGAGTGTCTGCGATTCAGCCGTAGGCCTGTAGAGGGCGTACCAGGCACTGAAGATCCCTGTAGTATATCAGACCAGAACTTCCGGTTTCGGCCAGCGTTGCTCGGATTGCTTCAGCGTAAGCAATAAAGCTCGCTCGTAAACCAGATCTGGGTTATACGGTTCCATTCTCTTCAGATTTTAATCTATTCAATATTTATGTGGTTTTATCACGATTTCAGTTAACAAACACGAAATACTCTTACACTAGAATAATATTCTGGCTAAAAGGCAGTGTGCAATATGCATTCCTTCATGGAATGTTAGACCATTTAATAGCAAAGAGCCTTTCACTGGAGAAAATTCTAATGTTTCCACAGTTCAAAAAGGTAATTTTAGATGAAGTTCTGTGTCGACAGGAGGTAAAGCAGAGGCTGAAGMTTGAGCCACATTCCACTAATGTGAATCTGCGAACCTGACAATGCAGCTGAGCAAAGCACATTTCTCAAGAAGCTTAGCGCCTGAAGTGTATTTCTTGGTTGTACCTTTTTTTTGACCAAGATTACAGTTGGCTCTAAAAAATAATAATAATAATAATAATAAAAAAATCAGCTGTGGCCTTAAGGGCTGCAAGCAAACAAAACATGGGCAAATTGAAAAACAACATTTACCAGTCTGATAAGTACAGGGTGCTTAGCATAATGGAAGAGACGGCAAATGCACAAAAACATAATCAAATACAGAAGAAAACAAGCAAACACTTCTCCGTGTTTCCCCGGGAAATGTCTAGCTTTGTGAGTCCACTCCATGTCGTCTTATAGCACTTRCATTTGCAGCACTTTTCATTATGTTGCAAATGCGCTCTCGAGCCGAAAAATGTGCCACTCTGTTTTCTCATATTTCAACTAATTAAATGCACTGAGTTCTGTTTACAGCATTCATGTATTTATTTATTTATTTTTTTGCAAATGCATATTTGAAAAAAAAAGTTAAAAAGATTTTTTTGTGACTTTGGAGGGAGCCTTGTTAAA